CTCTGATGGAGCATGCACTTGGATTCCACTTTTGCTCATAGTTTTTGTTTTTTTTGATAAGATTTTATTTATTTATTCATGAGAGACAGAGAGAGAGAGAGAGAGAGAGAGAAGCAGAGGGAGAAGCAGGCTCCCAAGGAGCAGGGAGCCCAATGCAGGACTCGATCCCAGGACCCTGGGATCATGACCTGAGCCGAAGGCAGATGCTTAATCATCTGGGAGCCACCCAGGCGCCCTGCTCATAGTTTTTGTAACCTCTAAGAACTGACTTCATAAACTATTTCTCTCTTTAAAACTCTCCTCTTTTAGCTCTTTCCTCTAAGATTGGAAACACCTTATTGTTAAACAACAGCAATAACAGTATCTCCTTTCCCTCCTCCCACCCTCCTTTCCTGCTGCTGCTTCTCTCTGCCTGCCCCACCCCTACCTTTCTCAACCAATCTTCTTATAGGCAGAGCCTGCTCTTTGACCTCATCCCTCTCAATGCCTGATAACTCAAGGCATGAAATCTGCCATAATTCGCCCTGCAGCGCAATAACTGACAAAAATCATCTGATGCTCAACACCCTGTCAAGTACAATGGGCTCTTGCTCTTCTTATTTTACTTATTTTACTATAGTTTGACCAAGTTATTGTTTATACTGTGGGCCACTCATTGCAACTCTATTCTCTTGATCCCATTATCAACCTCTCTCATGGTTCTTCTTACCCTTTAAGTTCTCACTTTTCTGCCTTTTCCAAAAGATCCTCCACTTCCTCTTTTGTGGATAACACATCAAATTCTCCAACATTCTGTCTTTAGCCCATCCTTTTCCTAATTATGTGCTGTCTGACTTCTACTTTTGTCCTGACATCCTTCCTGAGTTTTGGACTCATATGCAGAAGTATTACCCTGGATTTCCATAATTAAGCTTAAGCATATTTAATAATTCCCTTTCCAAACCTATTCTTCCAGTCTCAATATGTAGATCCATTTCGTTCTAGCTCAATCATGAAAGCCAGAAACGTGGCATTCAGCTTCCCACCATCCCCATGTCTAGCCGTTCTTACTTCTTTAATGCTCCTAAGTCCTGTTCTCACCAGCTTCACATTTACTGTTGAGTGGGCACCATCTCTCATTTGGACAATTACTGTGTCCTTCTAATTGTGTTCTCTGCCTCTTCTCTTGTTTGACTTCTCAATTTTACCTTGTAGACAGGTGAATTAGCTATAATAGGAGTCATGATCACTTACTAAAATTCATCGAAGATCCATCTACCTTATATTTATTAGTCTGGCAAATGTTGAAGTTACATTATTTCTCCAGGTGCATTTGTGAATACATCTTACTTTGCCCCTTACCTGTGAGTAAGAGTGAACAAACACTGTTGTATTTTGCCAATAACTCTCTGCCTACTTAGAATATACTTTGCTTCATTTCTTCGTATTAAAAATTTTAATATAGAAAAATTTACAGAGTTATATAACAGAAACATACACCGAGAATTACTTTTTCCTTTGGATTTTTTAAAATTAGAGTTGTGCTACGTTTTTAGATTAGAATTTGAAAGTGTTCATTCTACTTTTGCTTCTTACTTTCATTGTGATAGTAAATAATTATCTTTTGCCTGCCTGGTTTCTACACCTTGAAAATGAACATAGTCATTGTGCAATCTTCAGAATGACTTAAGAATTAAATAAAGTACATTTGGTAAAGTACTTGGAAAAGGTGCTTGACACATGGAAGATGCTCAGTAAATATTGGCTTGAATTACTGTTTTTCTTTTGTTGTCTTTAGTTATTATTATTAATAATTTTATCAGAATGGCATTTCCTTATCCATGAAATGGGCTATCTCATTTTTTGCTTCATCTTTTATGTATTTCAATGTTTTTATAACTTTTTTCCAAAATTATTTTTCTAAGTAGACTTTTTTTTAAGATTTTATTTATTTATTTGAGAGAGAGAATGAGATAGAGAGAGAGAGAGCACGAGAGGGGGGAGGGTCAGAGGGAGAAGCTGACTCCCTGCCAAGCGGGGAGCCCAATGCAGGACTCGATCCTGGGACTCCAGGATCATGACCTGAGCTGAAGGCAGTCGCTTAACCAACTGAGCCACCCAGGCATCCCTAAGTAGACTTTTTTGATAGGAAAAGGTAAAATATCTTACTGGCACTTATATTTTTCTAAGTGGCTACTGCTTTTACAATGCTGTCAGTATTCCCATTTTTAAATTTATCCATCAAATCAGCATGCTCTACAATTTGTCTGTAGAGTCCTTTGCATTTTCTGGATAAACAAAGTAAAATTTTAAAACAAGGAAAAATTAGCTTTTTCTTTATAATCTTTTGCTGCTTTTTTTCTTGTTTCGTTGTCTGTCTTGAATTTCTAATAAAATATGGTGACAAGATGCTGTCCTCGCCCAACTTTAGTCAGGTTGTATTTGACAAGGTCTTGACCTTGGCCCCTATCCTTGCCAGACGTGCATAGTCTAGTTTTAGCAAGAACCCTGATGTTAGTTTAGATGGAATCTACCCCAACCTTATTAAGTGATGAGTCTCAATATCTAGTCAAATTCCTCATCCTCCTCTCCTCAGATCTGGTCATCCTGGCCTGCTTCCGCAAGAATCTCCTCTGATATTTGATGTCTCTTTTTAGTAATTTTCCATATGCTGAACCACACCCTCACACACATCTGAATAAAATCAGTCTTTATCCCTTTAAGGAGAGTCTGGAGCTGGTTCTGTTTGGTTCTGTTCACACAGGTGTGATAATGGTTATGACTGGTTTCCACCTGAATTTAATTGGAACACTTCTAAAATGGAACCTTAAGTGTGAAGTTTACTATAGGTTTTATAAAAAATATTTTTCATTTCAAGTTTTATTTTTTTCCCTCTACTCAGAATTTTTATCACTGGTATGTATTAAATATCTCAGAATATTTCATTGTTAATGTTTGCTAATTTTATTTTGTATGTATTTTCTTATGTTCTCCTAATCATTTTTTTAATGGATTTAAGCATTAAATCCATTAATGGGATGATTTACATGAATAGATTTATAATGTTGAAATATTTGTCTGCACACCTGAGGCCAAATTTGCCTAGTAATGGTTTTTCGAGTTTTAATTTGCTATCTTTTTTTTGTCTTTTAGGATTTTTTTCATCTATGCTCATAAATTAGATTGGGCCATAATTTTCTATTTTTTGTCTCTATTTGTCTTATTTTGGTATCAATGTTACAATACCCTCATATAATGAAATGGATAATTTCATTCCTTTTCAAATTCTCTGAATCATCTTGCAATTATTTCTTCCTCATCTTTCTTGAGGTTGGCAGAACTTGTTTATAAAGCCACAACTGTAATGAGATCTTTTTGGTGAAAAAGTAGAGGTGACAACAATTTAATTCCTCTATTTCATTGTTTTACGTAGGCATTCTACTCATTTAAAAATAAATACTTTTAATTTGTAAATTTCTAAAGACTCTTTTCATAACAAAATAAGTTCAAAATAAAATATTGGCCTAATTTGTTCAAAGTATTCTTTAATAATTAAAAATATTCTAGCTATAGTCATGCCCCAGTTTTATTTCTCATAGTGTTTGTTTAGGCATTTCTATTCTTATTTAATTATTTCTGTCTGCAGTTTATCCTTCTGATGAGTTTTGCTGTGGCTTCCCCTGCTGCTGTTGTTTTTGCTGTTGTCTTTAGAACCAGTTTTGGTTTGTAGAGGATGAAGGACTTTGCAGATTGCTACTTTGTATCCATTCCCCTTCAACATTTCCAAGAGATCTCCAACTTGTTCAGTTGTCTATTCTTTTCCAACATTGGGACTCAGAGACGTTAACCCTAGCCTCATCTACCGGGATGGATCTTGTCAGACTAGGGTCAATTCTATCTTTCCAGAGAGAGATTAATTCTCAGATGAGTATGTGAACACATTTGGCCCAATGTCATGCTAGCTGGTATTTGGAGGGGGTTTGAGCGCGTTCTTGTTTGTTTATTTTTGTGAGCTAGTGAAATCTGTGTTTTTCTTCTTCAGGATTTGTACTGCACAAATGAAAGAGAGTTCTGGGAATACTGTGGCATCTACCTGTTTGAAGATAAAGAAAAAACATGGATGGGAAGAACCAAGAGAACTGGAGAAATGGACCTGAAGTCACTAGAAGCAGCAGCCTTGAATCCCATTTCAACTCTGCCTTCATGTGCAAGTGTGATGATCAATATTAGGTTTCAGTGTGGCTAGATGACGGTGACTGGTTGTTTGGTCAAACACTAGAAGCTGATGAGAAGTATTTTTTAGATGTGATTAACATTTAAAATAATTTTACTTTAGCTGAAGGAGATTACTCTTCATAATGTGGATGGGCTTTATCTAATTAGCTAAAGGCATTAAGAGCAAAGACTGAAGTTTCTCAGAGAAGAAAGAATTCTACTTCTAGAATGCCACATAGAAACTCTGCATGAGTTTCCAGTCTTTGAGTTTAATACTGGCATCAAATTCTACCTGAATCTTCAGGCTGACAACTTGCCCAAGATTCAGACTTGCCACCAGCCCCTACCATTGTATGAGTCAGTTCTTTAAATATTTCACTCTTCTTCTTTCTTGTTTCCAATATATATCTAATCTATACCTACATCTGTATTATAGAGAGAGAGAGAAGAAATAAACTGTAGCATTAATACTGGACTTAAAGGATATTTTTATGTTAAGGCTATTATTTAGAGCCTTAGGTCTTTGGTTTCAGTGAAGCTTTATTAGCCAGTACTGAAATTTAAAAACAATATTTAGGAAAGCACTTCCGGGGGCGCCTGGGTGGCTCAGCCCTTAAGCGTCTGCCTTTGGCTCAGGTCATGATCCCAGGGTCTGGGGATGGAGCCCCGTGTCGGGCTCCCTGCTCAGCAGGAAGCCGGCTTCTCCCTCTCCCACTTCCCCTGCTTGTGTTCCCTCTCTCACTGTGTTTCTCTCTGTCAAAAAAATAAATAAAATCTTAAAAAAAAAAGGAAGCACTTTCAGAATAATGGGGTTAGTTACCTCTGAAAATTTACTCCTCTATAAAAGCATGAGAATGCTGGCAAATATTATTAAAATCAACTTTTACAGAATTCTGTAAATTAACCAAAAGCTGGCAATAATCCAAGGGATATTTATTCATGACAAATGGCTGAATCTCAGTAAGATTGAGCTTTGTGAAATGTTAAATTGCCCTTTTCCCCTTCTGCTGTCCCTAACTCCAAGGGAGACTTACAAACCAACAGTCTTGTAATAATGGTAGCCATGAGAACCAGCAGCCAAATACCTGTTAGAGAGAGAAGAATAGGTTTGGAGCTTTCCCAACCACCCAAATAATTGTTATTATTTCACTTATCTGGCAGTTACTTGAAATACCTCACACTGGGCTTATTTGTATTAGAAGTGATTTAGTGTTTGTTCAATTCTTTTCCATGGCATGTTTGGGAAAAATCAGTGTCAATTGGTTTAACATTGCAGCTGCCTCAGGTGGTGATGTAGCTCGGGTGAACAAGAAACTAACTGAAAAACTTAAAAGGAAAAGCTGTGGCATGAGACAAAGATAAAGAGCTTTGAAAAGTTTTGACATATTCTTGGGAATCTAGAAAACCACATTCATGCACAGGATTGGGCACATGCTGAAAAGAGATCCGAGACTGTCCTAATCTCTTTCCTCTGGCTGATCTTGAGGTTCTGTGAAACTAGGAAGTGAAGAATAAGGCAGTGTTATAAACTGTCTGCCAGAGGATTGAATGCATGCCACAAAAACCTTCAGCAAAAGTTAGGAGTCTTATTATTTTAAGAAAATCAATTTCCAATCATTAGTTTATCACTGACCTAATTGAAGAGTCTTCAGTGGCTATACATGATGAAGAATATAGACTTTGCAGAATTAGTATAGGAAAATCACTAAGCAAACAAACAATAATAACAACAACATGAAAAAAAAGCAACAACAACAAGAACAATAAACTCTGAGAAGAGGGGAATCTGATTTCCAGATTTGCTACATTATATCACTTTGAGCATCCAGTTTAAAAAAATATATAAGAAAAAATAAATAAAAAATAAATAAATAATAAATATATAAGAAATGCCAAGAAGTAGGAAAGTATGGCCAATAAGCACACAAAAAATAAGTCAGTGGAAATTGTCCCTAAGTAACTCAAACATTGAACTCACTAGACAAGAATTTTATGTCAGCTATTTTAAACATGTTCAATTAACTAAAAGAACCATAACTAAAGAACTAAAGGAAAGTATCTGAACAATATCTCACCAATAGAGAATATTGATACAAATGCAAATTATAAAAATAAACCAAACAGATATTCTGGAGTTGAAAAGTACAATAAATGAAATACAGTGGCTTCTGAATAGCAGAAGATTTAGTGAACTTGAAGGAAGGTTAATTGAGATTATCTAGTCTGAGGACCAGAAAATAAAATAAAAATAAAAAAATGAAGAAAAAAATTTAAAAAATAAATCTTGGAAATCTATGAGACACCATTGAACATATCCACATACAAATTTTGGGAGTTCCAGAAGGCAAGGCAATAGGGAAAGAATACTTGAAGAAATAGTGAAAATTTGTGAATAGTGAAATAGAAGAAATAGTCAAAAATTTCTCAAATGTGCTGAGCACTGTTACTATACACATACAAAAGAACTAAAAAAAAAAAAAATCTCCGAGTAGAACAAATTAAAAGAGAGTCACTCCTAGACACATCATAAAAAAACAAAAACAAAAACATCAAAAAACAAAATCAAGTAGAGAATCTTGAAAACAGCAAGGGCAATAAGACTCTATGCAAGGATCAACAGATGCAATAGGATTAACAAATGATTTATCATAAGAAGCCATGGGCGAAGGGTGCTTGGGTTAACCAACTGCCTTTGGCTCAGGTCATGATCCCAGGATCCTGGGATCAAGCCCCACATCATGGTCTCTGCTCAGTGGGGAGCCTGCTTCTCCTTTCCCTCTGTCTGCTGCTCTGTCTGACACTCTGCCTACTCATGTTCTCTCTATCAAATAAATAAATAAAATCTTAAAAAAAAAAAGAAGAAGCCACAGAGGGAAAAAACAGTAGGATGGCATATTTAAAGAGCTGAAGGAAAATGACCACCAACCAAAATTTAATATCCAGCTTCAAAGATGAAGTAGAAGTTACAACATTTCCAGATAAAGAAAAACAGAGGATTTGTCTCAGATCTGGTTTACAAGAAATAATATAGGGAGTTTTTCAGGCTGAAATAAAAGAATATTAGATAGTAATTAAACCCATATCAAGAAATAATAACAGCAGGGGTTGGTGAACACGTGGAGATTTAGGGGGAGATACTTGTCTGGAGAAGGCATGGAAGCTCTATGCTCTGGAGCTATGCATCTATCTGACTGTTCCTGAGCTACATCCGCTTTACAATAAATCAGTGATCTAAAATATGGCTACACAAAACTTTCTGCAGGAGAACTTCTTCTTGATGAAAGGAAGAACCCAGATACACAGTATGGTGAACTCACTGAAAAGTACATTAAAGATGGAAAGATGGTGCCAGTTGAGATAACTATCAGTTTGTTAAAGAGTGAAATGGATCAGACAATGGCTGCCAATGCTCAGAAGAATAAATTCTTAATTGATGGGTTTGCAAGAAATCAAGACAACCTTCAGGGTTGGAAGAAGACCATGGATGAGAAGGCAGATGTGTCTTTCATTCTGGTTTTTTACTGTAATAGTGAGATCTGTATTGAACGATGTCTTGAGAGGGGAAAGAGTAGTGGTAGAAGTGATGATAACAGAGAGAGTTTGGAAAAGAGAATTCAGACCTATCTTCAGTCAACAAAGCCAATTATTGACTTATATGAAGAAATGGGGAAAGTCAAGAAAATAGATGACTCTAGGTCTGTTGAAGTTTTTGATGAAATTGATAAGATTTTTGACAAAAAAAGGTAATTCTGAATGTGAAAGCATCCTCGAAATCATGCTGGAATGTTGCTTTGATAACTGCTATTACAACCCCTTTTTAAGGCAATTTTAATCTTTCATAATTACATCTCAATTAACAGCTGGAAGTATGTAATAAGACAAATTAAATTTTTTATCTTAGATTTTTTTTGGTTACAGGAGTAGATGGTGAATTCTAGTCTAACTTCATCTTAGCTACGGTGTTCAGAAAACAAAGAAGGATATCAGCTAGTTCTTTGTTTTTACTCAGAAAGCATATCCCTCTCATAGATTGTGCTTTCTGTGAGCAAAACTTTTTAGTAAGTGTGTATATCCCTTTAATAATTACAACGTTAGGATTAGGGATTCCCCACTTCCTTGTTTTCTTGCAGGTTTCAAATTTCCAACCTGTTAAATGAATTTGTAGACCAAATTCCAAAGGAAATTTTTGTGTAGTTGGTTCTTGCAAAATGTGTTTGATAAACTCATAAAATGAATTTCTAGAAGTGTTTTAGTATTTATCAAATAACTGACCATTTCCTATAGAAAGGTAAGAAAACTTAAGTTTTGTTTTATTACAACTTATACAAAGTAGTGTGACAGGGCATCTTCTTTGCTTCCAGGGATTGGGACGGGGTCACTGGGGTTCAGAGCCTGGTAGAATTGTTAGCTTTATTCTGACATAAATCTGAAGGTAAGGGGCAAGATCACATCTAATGACCTGTGTTCCTATGCTCTATTAATAGTGTTATTAATGATTAAACTGATCTTAACAAAATTCCTAGCAGTGGAACTTTGAAATGTATATACTAGGTTTATGGTCAATGATTTGGTTAGTGTTTTAGTAACACTTCATTCAAAGTGTTTTTGAGGGCGCCTGGGTGGCTCAGTTGGTTAAGCGACTGCCTTCGGCTCAGGTCATGATCCCGGAGTCCCGGGATCGAGTCCCACATCAGGCTCCCTGCTCAGTAAGGGAGCCTGCTTCTCCCTCTGACCCTCCCCCCTCTCATGTACTCTCTCTCTCTCTCATTCTCTCTCTCTCAAATAAATAAATAAATCTTTAAAAAAAAAACAAAGTGTTTTTGATTGTTTTCTAGACTAGATGCAGGGTTGGTATGAAATAAAAACATCTAATGGTTAATTTTCCATTGTGTTTTATTTTCTTGAATACTTTTTTCAGTTATTTGTTTAAAGAGTTTTAAAAATCATTGCATTTTGGTCAGAAAAATAATAAATATATCTTATAAATGTTGAAAAAAAGAAATAATAACACCATAAAGGTAAGTATAAGAAAAATATAGAATAAAGGGAAAAATAATCTTTTTCTTATATTTACAGCTGAATAAAACAGTAAATATAAAACTGTGTTTATGGATTTATAATGTATAAATATGTAATTTTTATAACAATAACAGCATAAGGGAAAAGGAGGGGATGGAGCTACAAAGGAACAAATTATCTAATAATTAAATCAAATTGGTATTAATCTGAACCAGGTAGATTTACATTAAGATGTTTACTGTAGCCTCAAGGTCAACCACTAAGAAAAAACTAAAAATTACATAGTAAAAGAAATGACAAGGAGATTAAAATGGTACACTAGAGAGTATTTAACACAATAAGAAATACTAATGGAGAAATAAAGAACAACAACAAAAAACCCACGAAGATATATACAAAGCAAATAACAGTGGCAGACATGAATACTACCTTATTGGTAATTACATTAAATATAAATGAATGAATCTTTCCAATCAAAAGGCAGATAAAAAATAAACATGACTCAATTATATGCTGCCAGCAAGATTACATATTTCATATTCAAAGACACAAATTGGTTAAAAATTAGAGAATAGAAAAGATATACCATGCAAACAACACAAAAGAGAGCTGGAGTAGTTATAATAAGAAAAGAAAATAGACTATAAGGTAAAAATTGTTGCTAGGAACAAAGAAGGATGTCTTATGATGATAAAAATGTCAATCCATAGGAAAGACATGTGCCTAACAATCGAGACCCAAAATATCCAGAATGAAAACTGATAGAATGAAGGGAAAAATAAACAATTTAACAAAATAGCAGAGAATTCAATTTCCCACTTTCAATAATGAATAAAACAACTAGACACCAATCAATAAGGAAGATTTGCGCAACTATTTAGTCCTAACAAATATCTGCAGAGCACTCTGCCCAAAAATAGCAGAATACAAATTTTTTTCAATCGTATGTGGGACATTACCCAGTATAGATTATATGTTAAGCCACAAACAAGTCTCAATAAATTTAAGATGATTAAAATCATACAGAGTATCTTACCATGATCAAATAAAACTAGAAACCAAAAACATTTGGAAAATGAGAAATTAAAAAAATACACGGAAATGTAAAAATAAACTCCTAAATAAGTAACGGGCCAAAGAATAAATAGCATAAGGAGTTAGAAAAATATTTTGAGATAATTGGAAATGAAAAAAAGACATACCAAATTTTATGTGATGTAGCTACTGCAGTGTGAAGAGAGAAATGTATAGTAGGAACCTATACTTTAAAAACTCTACAAATCAATAACCTAACATTCTACTTTTAGAAACTAAAGGAAAGGAACTAACAAAAAATAAAGCAAGCAGAAGGAAGGTAATAATAAAGATTAGAATGGAAATAAAGTAAAATAAAATAATTGAAAAATATACTACCTTGAGAAACCAAAAGTTGGTTCTTGAAAAGACCAACAAATTTAACAAAACTTTACAGAGACTGACCAAGGAAAAGTTGAGAAGACTGAAATCATTAAAATTAGGAATGAAGTATGGAACATTATTATGTACCTTACAGGAAAATAAATACAGAATAAAATATAATACTATGAATAATTGCATTTCAATAAATTATATAACCCAGATAAAATAGATAAATTACCAGTAATACATAAACAACCATAACTGAGTCAAAAAGGAATAGAAAATCTGAATAGACTGAAAACAACTGAAGAGATTTAATTAGTAATTAGTTTTTTAAAATGTCAAAAGAAATTACCATGTCCAGATGGCTTCACTGATTAATTCTACTAAATGTTTAAAGAAAAATTAACACCAATCCTTTAAAAAATTGTCCCAGAGATAGAATAGAAAGAACATTCCCTAACTCTTTCTATAAAGCAATATTATTCTGATGGAAGAGCCCAGAAAAGACCATACAGGAAAACACAAGTACCTACCAATAACTCATGTGACGATATATGCAAATTCCCCCACCCCAAATAATAGCAAATTGAACCCAGTGCTATGTAAATAAATGATTTCAAACCATGATCCAAGTGAGATTTCTACTAGGAATGAAAAATTATTTCAAGAGATGAAAGTCAATCAATGTAATATACCATATTGATGGAATAAAAAAGAAAAAGACCTTGATCATCTTAATGCAGAAAAATCATTTGAGAAATACCAAGACCTTTTCATGATATAACATTCTATGAACTAGGAAAAGAGGGGAACTTCCTAAACTTGATAAGGTGTATCTACAAAAAACACACAGCTAATGTCATACCTAACAGTGAAACACTGAATGCTTGTCCCCTAAATTCAGGATCGAGACAAGAAGTCTGATCTTCCCATTTATATTCATTATACCAAGGATATTAGCCAGGGCAATTAGGCAAAAAAGAAATAAAAGACATCAAGATTTGGAAGGGAAGTAAAACTATCTCTATTTGCAGATGAGCTGATCATGTATTTATAATATCCTAAGGACACCACTAACACAATTAGAACTCATATATTCATCAAGGTTGCAAAATACATTATCAATATACAAAAAAATAGTTGTATTTCTACACCTTCCAATAAACAATCTAAAAATAAAATTAAGCAGTTTCACTTACAGTAGCATCCAAAAGGATAAAATACTTAGGAATAAATCTAAGTGTTATGAACTGACAACTACAAGACGTTGTTGAAAGAAATCAAAGTAAATCTGAATAAAGGGAAAGATACCCCACATTTATTGATCAAAAGACTTAAAATTGTTAAGGATAGCAATACTTCCCAAATTGATTTACAGATTCAAAACACCTCTATCAAAATGCAACTGTCAATTTTGCAGAAAATGATAAGCTGATCCTAAAATTCATATGGAGATGCAAGAAGTCAACAGTAGTAAAAACAATGCTGAAAAAGAAGAATAAAGTTGAGTGATTAATACTGATGACTTAAAAATTAATTATGAAGCCAGATAATCAAAACAGTTTGATATTAATAAAAGGATAGACATAGAAATCAATGAAATAAAATTGAGCTTTCAAAAGCAAACGCTTACATTTATTATCAATTAATTTTTGGAGTTTCTAGACCATTAAAATGGGAAAGATCTTTTCCAAAAACTGGCGTTGGGACAATTGTATATCTATGAGAAAGAATGAAAATGGATCCCTACTTGAAATGCTATACAAAAATGAACTCAAAATGGATCAATGACTTAAATGTAAGAACTGAAATAAAATGTTTAGAAGAAAATATAAGAATAAATCTTTTATCCTTGGATTAGGCAATTTTGTCTTAGATATGACACCAAAATTACAAGTGACAAAACAAAATATGGAGAAACTGAACTTCACCAAAATTAACAATTTTGTGCCTCAAAAGACACCATCAGTGAAGTGCATAGACAACCCCTGGAAAGGGGGGCGGTATTTGTTAGTCATATGTATGAGACAAAATACTTGTATTCAGAGTATATAAATAACTCTTACAATCCAACAATAAAAAGACAAACAACCTAGTTGAAATAAATGGACCAAATACCTGAATAGACATTTACCCAAAAAAGATTTAAAAAAATTCCAATGGTAAATGTGGATATCAATGAACTCTTTTGTATGCCTAAAACTACCTTAATATTATTTTCATTCTTCAATACTTATTTTATTTTATTAGATCTCTGAATTGACTGTCACTTTACCCTATTATTTGAAAAATATTATTCTAATAACTTCCAGAATCTGTATATTCTGATATGTGGGATGGCCTCATTGTGAAGTTCGTTCCTATTTAAGTGACCTATAATAAATTTCATTTTGCTTGCTATTGTGCATTGTCACTAGATGAGTCCAAGTACGAATTTGGTTGTATTTACCTTTTTCAGGATACAGTATGCTTTATTCTGTCTTAGAATATATGTCTTCTTCAATTAAAAAAAATTCCTATTTTTTACTTTCAATGTTGTCTCTTCAGATGTCCTAATTTTGTTTAAAACAAAACAAAAAATTAGAGTTCTAGCTCCTTAGCCTTCATGGTTCATGCAGTTTGAATGACTAATCCCCCATGTGGTTGTGAAAATTCCAACTATCGAGCTATTTCTGCTTTTCATATACCTCTGAGAGTTTGGCGTTGATTCCTACTTTTTTTCACTCTTGATTTATGATATATTTTTCTTTTTATCTCACACCTGGAAATTCGCT